ACACCGGAACCTACCAATCAAATACCTTTCTTAAATGTTTGTGTATTCTAGACAAGGCAATAAGGTCTACTGTGTTCGTAAATTATTGCTGTGATTGTTATTCGACATTTGCTTCGTTATTATAAATTTCTGTAACCTATGGTGCCATTTCAATGGGTTGAAATGAATTCTGTCCGTATTCCATAGTCGTGGATTTCAAGCTGTACGATAGACATGGCCAATGAGACACCTTTTTTGGGGGGTGCCTAGTTGACCATGTATCTTAGTGCACTTGTATTCATGGCGAGGCGCAGAAGCCGTCTGGAGGTGACAGGTTCAATTCCCGGCACGGTAACTATAGCTTTCAATTTTTATGTTGTCTAGTTTGTTCTTCTATCTTTCTACTTCTCTCTATGAGTGCCGTTCACAATACTTTCTGTTACTTGATTAATTCATAATATTTAACGGCCTCAAATGGCCCCCCCCCCCCCCCCTCTGTTTATTTATAGGAGATCTTTAATGGAACATTAAACGAGTTGTTGGAAATCAACAGGGAGGCAGTGACCATCGACCGGTCTTCCTGAATGTAGAAAATGAGAAGGTCAGAGAAACGAGTACGCTGCTAAGGTGGAACTACAAGAAGGCTGACTGGACAATGTTCAAACACCGTACCAGTATACTGCTTGGAAATCTCAGCGTAGACCAGGATAAAAATAAAGTAGTTAAGAATTTAACAAATGCGTACTAAAGGCAGCAGGAAAATCAATACCAAGAGGTGCCCGTAAGCATTATAAGCCATACTGGAGTAATGAGCTAGAAAATTTACAAAACGAAGTAGAAACATCCAGACAGATAGCAGAGACCAGGCCAAACCAAGAACATCACAATAACTACCAGCATGCAAAAGCAAAATTTGTAAGGGCAAAGCTGCAGGTTAGAAGGGAAAGCTGGCAGGAGAAAACAAGGTCGCTGAACTTTGAAAAAGACACAAGAAAGTTATGGTAGCTTGTGAAACAAATTAATGATGAGGAGACAGGGTGGAACTCAAAGATCACGCTGCAGAAAGATGGAAACATGGTCACGGGAAAAGAGGCAGCCAACCTATTTGCGGAAACTTTTGCTTTAGACAACGACATTGAAATCAGTTCAGAGAAAAAACACGAAATTCAAGAAAAGACTTAATTTAGAAGTCAGAAAAAAATGACATCAGAGGCGCTAAAGGTGCCAATTACACTTAATGAACTAGAGTTGGCTGTAAAACTATGGAGCGCATCACCAACCTCAGACTACAGTGGTACATTGAAAGTGAAAACATCATTACACCACAGCAGGCGGGCTTTAGAAAGTTCTACTCTACGGAAGACCAGACAACATACCTCTCCCAAGAAATAGAGGATGCTTTTCAAGATAAGAAACTGGTACTCGCGGCATGGATATATTTAAGGAAAGCTTTTGATAAGGTTTTTAAGAAATTGAGAAACTATAAAATAAATGGAAAAATGTACAATTTGATTAAAGCATATCTACATAACAAGAGCCCGGGTACAGGTAGATGGTTTTAAAAGTACAAAATTTCTACTGCGACAAGGCGTCCCTCAAGGTGGTGTCCTGTCGCCCACACTTTTCCTTTTATTCATCAACGATCTGGTTGCTGAGATACCAAATGGAATCAAAATGGCAATGTATGCCGACGACCTGGTACTGTGGTGCACCAATGAACATGCAACGATAGCCACAAAAACACTGCATCGGGCTACAAATGCACTTAAGGCATGGGCCAATAGATGGTGTGTCAGCATCAACACAGACAAATGTAGCACCACACTATTCACCCTCTCCCCAAAGCAAAAAGCCGGCACTATCAAAATAAACGGAATACCCCTGAGAGATGATAAAGAGCCCACATACCTAGGAGTCACATTTGATGACAGGTTGACATGGAGAAAACATATCAACAAGGCAGCAACCAAAGCCAGGAGGAAGACAGCAATACTAAGAAAACTAAGTGGAACTACATGGGGAGCCGATGGGAAAATACTCAATAAAGTATACAAGCAGAGCATACTTCAACACTTGGAATATGGGTCAACTGCATGGTGTTCAGCATCTAGTACCACATTAAAGGAGTTAGACAAAGTGCAAAATCAAGCGCTCAGAGTCATCACAGGAGGGATGAAATCAACCCCCAAATTAGAAATGGAGAAAGCTGGGAAAACACAGGCACTGAGAGAACGCAGAGATACAAAGTTGCAAATACAAGCTGAAAAGTTCCTCAGTATGCCAGATCACCCGATTAGTTAGTTAGTTAGTTAGTTAGCCTTTCCTCTTGTGTCGAGTGCGGCACATAAGGCAGAGGTCATGACTCTCCATGCATGGCGGTTCGTTGCAATCTGTTGTAGGTCTTGGAAGTTTGAGTGGCCCATGAGGCAGCCTTCCCTGATGATAGTTCTACGTAGAGTTTCCCTTGGTCTTCCACGAGATCTTTTGATAGAAAATAGATTTAAGAACCTAGCCTTGGGACATTTAAAAAGAAGCAGTTTTATACACCAAACAAAAAGAATATGTAGGCAAACTCCTGACCTTCCAGAAATTGGTTGCCCACTTAAAAGTATTCCGGAACAAACCCCATGGAGAGTAAAATGTAAACTAAAGGTACAAATCCAGACAAATGTGAAAGGGATATTTGACAAGAAAGAGCAAGAATGGCCAACCTCAGTTATTATATTGATGAAGAATACCCAAAAGAACAATGGGTCAGAGTCTATACAGATGGGTCCGCAGAAAGTGCAGTTAGAAATGGTGGCGCTGGAGTGTACATCGAATTATCAGACGGTACTAGGGATAAGTCCAGCGTACCCAGGCTATCAAGAGAGCTACAGAGAAACTGCTAAATACCGACCTTGGCTCACAGTATGTGGTAATGCTGACAGATGCTAAATCAGTACTTGAAGCACTCCAGTCTAGGAAACTACCAGAATTGCAAACACTGCTGACACAACTCAGCGTTCAGCGAAGAGTCGTAATGCAGTGGATACCGTCTGATTGTGGAGTGCCTGGAAATGAGAAAGCTGATCAACTGGCAGGGGAAGGTGTGACAAAAGAGCAGCCAGATGTACCAGTCACATACCATCAAAAGAAAAGAATCATTAAATCGATCAGGAAACCACCAGCCCCAGCACAAGACGACTATTTTATTATGGACAGACCAGAACAAGTCATTATCCTCCGCCTCAGAACAGGGCACAACAGATTACGTAACCACATGTACACACAATTCAAGATAGGTGTATCAGCCATGTGCACCTGTGGAAATGTGCCCCAGACAGCAGAGCATGTACTCCAGGACTGCACCGATTTTGACACATTAAGGCAAACCTTTTGGCCAGAAAGAACAACAGTGGAACGTAAACTCTATGGATCACTGAATGAACTAACAACGACAGTGAAATTTATACAAGAGGCAAAACTGCTGATATAGACAACTTATTTCAGGCCAACGAAAGAAGAAAAAGAAGTAAGTTATAAGAATCCGTCATCTCTCTCTCTCTCTCTCTCTCTCTCTCTCTCTCTCTCTCTCTCTCTCTCTCTCTCTCTCTCTCTCTCTCTCTCTCTCTCTTGTTGTTCCCCACCAGGACATTATACAAGCGATAAACACCCGGTGACCCAAAGTGCCACTCTGCGGACAAGGATCACCCGTGGAGAGGTCATATAAACCCCGTTCAGCCGTTATGGCCCAGCTATATTCAGGGCCCCCGTCAAAATCCAATGTGGGGCCTCAAAAACGAAAAATCGCATTCCACATGGGGACCACTGTGACACTATTAAAAATCCTTCCCGTATCGTATCGTATCGTATAAAATCAAACAAAAATTTCAAGCTTAGTCTTTTTTTAGCCGCCTGATGGCCTGCTTTTTCAAGGACGGTTCCTTTGCTATCTTATTTTATTAATCTTCCTTGTGGTGATCACTTTCACCTGAGTTTGTTCATTTGTTGCCTAGTTCTGGTTCTGAGGGGCCTGGTTCCTGTTTAATTGGCTATTCGCTAGCTTTTGCACTGTTTATCTGTGTTAGCACCAAGTCAGTTCGAAGTCACACCGCCACGAAACAACCAGTTCCGCATACTGAGCGCCCTAAAACACGGCCCCCACAGGACGACTGTCACAATATTGTTGTTGTGTGCAGCCGTTATATAAGTAGAGGAGGTAACAAAGGTTGCAAAAAAATTAGAACGCCCGAAGGTGCAAAGATATTTTATAGTTAGGTCGGAAGATGGAGAGAGACAGATAGCTTGCTAGGTTGAGGAAGAGGTCCTTGGTGAGTTGAGTCCTGCACACTGCCTGGGTAGATCTGAAAATAGACTGATTTACATTTTAGATATATGTGGGGAGGGACGGGTGAAGTTATCAGGGAGGCGTGGTAGCCTGGAATTCCACAAGTGCTGGTCCCCTTATTGTGCAATGCCCTTTTAGCTGGTTTGCCTCAGAGCGTCGGGTGGCCTTTGGTGGGTTTCCTCGGTTTTTAGCTGAAAATGAGTTTATTAACATTGAAACATATGTGGGAGGGGCGGGGAGTTTACAAAATGAAATGCATAACAGACTGAAATCCACGAGTGCTGGTCCCCTTCTTGTGCTATGCCCTTTAGCTGGTTTGCCTCGGAAATCCTTCCCCCTCCCCAATCCCCTTTTATTCGTGTGGTCGTTTGGAAATGCCAATTTGGCCTAAAACAGTTTTCAAATTTTTAATCAAGTAAAATTAAAGCACAATTTAAAATTTTTTTTTACAAAAGTTGAATTAAAATTCAAAACAAATGATTTCAAAGTTAAAACTATTTATCCATTAATAATTATTTTAAAAATGTACAAATTAATTTTTTGAAATAACCTGAAACTGCTGGAATTATCTGTAGCCACCGGGGAATAGTCTCGTGATAGTCACAACTTCCGTTTGCTGTGACCGCTGTTGTGTTCAACCAGAACAGAAGTTAGCAGACGCCGACCGGGACCTGACACACAAGATACAATCATGGCTCAGAGTAATGCTGGCATTCAGAAGCTCTTGGACGCAGAGAAGAAGGCATCAGCGTTAGTTTCTGAGGCCAGAAAACGTGAGTTGTGAACTATCCAGTACTGTATCTGTTTACTTTTACTATATTCTCCGAGAGTCAGGTCTAAAATTGAAATCAGAAGTGGACAGCTGACAATATAATGACACTGGACACTGATTCCTGTAGTTACGTTTTCTCTGTGGGAATTTTATTTCCGAAACAAACCACCCAGATAAATAGAGGTTTAGATGTCTAATCTAATGACACTATAAGGAAGCGGTTCTGTTAATTCTAAGCAGAGATATTTACATCCTAATGATAAATACCGCCCTAGTCAGTTTTCCCGACAGATTGAAAAATGGGCTCTCCTGTAAACTACGGCCGGTAGACAACAGTAGACGGCCGGTTAGTCGGAGTTCTGTCCCTTGGCTACAATGCAATTATGGAGTGGAAAGGGCACGAATCACAACACAAAGTGACGTCGACATGGCTTGCAGACCCCGCGCTGCGACTCAAATTAGCGACGCGTTCAATTACCGCTTCTTGCAACGCATTAGGGAGTGGACTAGAGGGAACGAAACAAGTGACATAATTACTGTGTGTTGGAGATAGACAGCGTGCAGTGCCCTACTGTCATCATACATTTAGGGTTTGGATTAGCGTTTGGGGTAAGGTTTGGGTTAGGGTTTGGGTTGCTACTATGAGTTTGTGCGAAAACAAGATGCGGCGACACTAACCGTAACCCTAACCCACACCATAACCCAAACCCTAACTCTAACCCAACCCTAACCCAAACCGTAACCGTATGATTATAGCAGGGCAGTGCACGCTGTCTATTGCCAACACACAGTAATTGTGTCAATTGTTTCCTTCCCTCCTTTTCCACTCCATAATTGCACTGTAGCCAAGGGACAGAACTCCGACTAACCGGCCGTCTACTGTTGTTTACCGGCCGTAGTTGACAGGAGAGCCGAAAAATGGCCGGGGATAAACAAATTGTTCTTCACATCAGAAATTTGCCACATCTGAGATTACCTTGCACTGTCTACACTGTATTATTTCCCTACCATCATCCATGTCAAGACCTGTACAAATAAGTTCTAACACTTCATACAGCAAAGGATTTCCTTGACCGTATCCTAAATATCTGGGGATGAAAGACACACAACCCTCTTTGATCAGTTATATAATTTCATTTAGCTTCATCCCTGCGTGGGTTCCGGAGCCCCAGTGTGAGGAAAACAAGAATAGACCTGCCTTCCCTACAAGCATGTCCTAAGAGTCGATGAACTAGGGGTTTCTACCAGAGCTGGAATACATCTGCCTGAGGCAAAGAACCAACAGTCTACTTTCATATAAGTCAGATGTATAAAATTGATGTGCACGCAAATCTTGGGTTCTGGAATAAGGCTAAAGTCCAGAGATTGATAAATAACCAGAACTTTCTACCAGAAATTATAGCCGGTGAATGGGAAGAAGAAAAGAAGAAGATTTAGCTTCATTGTTCTATAAAAAATAGTGGCCAGTAGTGCTCTTGATCTGTCCTTCAGTCTTAGGTCTTTATTAATTATTCTGATACCATCATGATCTCACTGGCATCTGTCTTATTGTGGGTGTCTATGGATGAGCCACAAGTAATACATTGTTGATACTTTTAATATTATTTTAGTTACTGTCTGAATTTTTGGAGAAACAGAAACTGAATTATTACTATTTGTTTGTACCAGATCATTGTGATGTGATCCCCCCCCCCCCCCCCCCACCTTCTAGGAAAAAAACCAGAAACTGAATTATTACTATTTGTTTGTACCAGATCATTGTGGTGTGTTCCCCCCCCCCACCCCCCCCCCCCCCCCCCACCCCCCCCCCCCCACCTTCTAGGAAAAAAACCAGGAAACTGAATTATTACTATTTGTTTGTACCAGATCATTGTGTTGTGATCCCCCCCCCCCCCCCCCCCCCACCCCCCCCCCCCCCCCCCCCCACCCCCACCCCCCCACCTTCTAGGGAAAAAAACAGAAACTGAATTATTACTATTTGTTTGAACCAGATCATTGTGATGTGATCCCCCCCCCCCCACCCCCCCCCCCCCCCCCCCCCCCCCCCCCCCCCCCCCCCCCCCCCCCCTTCCCCCCCCCCCCCCCCCCCCCCCCCCCCCCCCCCCCCCACCTTCTAGGGAAAAAAACAGAAACTGAATTATTACTATTTGTTTGAACCAGATCATTGTGATGTGATCCCCCCCCCCCCCCCCCCCCCCCACCTTCTAGGGAAAAAAACAGAAACTATTTGTTTGTACCAGATCATTTTGGTATGATTTTTTTGTTTTGTTTTTCAGAAACTGAGTTATTACTATTTGTTTGTACCAGATCATTTTGATGTGAGTTTTTTGTTTCACCTTCTCAAAAAAAATGTACATAAACTGAGTTATTACTGTTTCCACCAGATCATTTTGATGTAATTTTTTTTGTCACCTTCTAGGAAAGAAACAGTAACTGAGTTATTACTATTTGTCTGTACCAGATCATTTTGATATTATTTTTTTGTTTCACCTTCTAGGAAAGGTACAGAAATTGAGTTATTACTATTTGTTTTTAACAGATCATTTTGATGTAATTTTTTTTGTCACCTTCTAGGAAAGATACAGTAACTGAGTTATTACTATTTGTCTGTACCAGATCATTTTGATATGATTTTTTTGTTTCACCTTCTAGGAAAGGTACAGAAATTGAGTTATTACTATTTGTTTTTAACAGATCATTTTGATGTGATTTTTTTAACCTTTCAGGAAAGGTACAGAAACTAAAAACTGCAAAGAAGGAAGCAGAAGTTGAAATCAACAAGTGCAAAGAAGAGAAAGAAAACCAGTTTAAAGCATATGAACATGAGGTATGTTTATGTTTGCTCTCAAACTGTATCATATCATTACTTTACATTATAAGCCTACAATCATTCTAGTTTACTTGTGTATTCATTTATATTTGCTAGTTAATTTATCTGTAAAATGGATATGCATGCAACACTCAGGTTATGGAACAAGACTAGAGTCAAGAGATGGACGAACAAACTAGACCTTTCCGCCTGAGTTTACAGCTGGTGAACGTAAAAAAGAAGAAAAAGAAGATAAACACAAGTGAACGCTGTGGCTACAGACCCCTCATTAGCACATTTACATAATTCTACAATACCACAAGTATGAGCAAGAATACACACAATCACTTAACTGATTATCTGTGATAGAAATCACATTTCTGTTTTGCCACTGGAAATAAATACTAGCCAGAAAAATCTGCAATCAGAAGGGGCAATAACTCAAAGGTGTTAGATAAAACTATTGGATGTTAAGTCCCCTAAGTGAACTGGCATCCATGAAATGGATAAGAAGTGGAATTAATCTGCTTTACAATACCACAGTCAGAAACAACACAATGAATATTGTTGTTAGACAGCCTTCATCAACATACAACACATAGAACATTGATACTATTACAAACAATGATACATTAATCACCTAATTGGCTTAGGATCTTAACTGCCATTATTACACATTTGTTGCAGATTTTTTCAAAGAAAGGCAACAGCGAAGCCCAAATACAAGTGCTGACTAATCAGAAGCTGAAGGATCAAGAATATATGTTGAAGAACAACCAAAGCAGGACCATGAAAACCCTTTTGGAGCAAGTGTTTAACATTGAGATCAGGCTACACGAAAATGTCCGTTTTTAGATCTGCATGCACAGTTTGTGGCCGCCTGATCATGTCTTTCGTATTCTTGTGATGTTTTCTTGTCTGATGTCGGCAGACATAATGGTACCAGCTTGTACATGTGAAACTTTTCCTCCTAGTATAGAGAACTGTTGTGGTCTCCACAGGTGTGATGGTTGTACATATTAATATAGCAATTTTCCGCATGTGGGTTACCCGGGCCTCATGGGGGGGGGGGGGGGGGGGGGGACCACTGCCTTCTGACAAGCATGTTATGAAAGACGACTAATTAGGTGCTTGTTAAATAGGATGTGTTGGGCTGAAAGGTGCAGATATTGCAGTCTAGCTGTAAACCACAGCACACAGCATGCTAGGAGTGCCTTTTTTTAATGGGGAATATGGAAGATTAATATATCATAATTTATTTTTCTTTTATCTCCCACTGGAGCATAGGCTGTCAGCGAACTTGTCTGCAGTCTTTCTATCCCTTATCATCGTATGAAACTCATCCCTGTCCCCCTCATCTGATCACCTCTCTCTGATTCTAATTATAGCATATCCAAGTGAACATAATTTCATTTTAAATGTTATGCTGCTTGCTTTCTTCTTCTTCTTATTCTCGGTGTTTGGTTTAGTATGCTCAGGTCAGACCACCAGGTGGGCTGTCTCTGTGAATTTGCATGCCATTTGCAGGTCCTCCATAGCTTGCCCTGCACTCTGCTCTCAAGGTCATGTTTCTCTTTATAGTTATAGGTATAGTTGGCAGGCCTGCAGAATTTGCTGAGGTATTTGTGGGCCCCTCTGACATCCACATTGTGGGAAATGTAGTCTTCACTTTACGCATGTAATAGTTCAGCCTGCAGTTTCCTGTTCTTATAGACAAAAAACTGATGTGTGATATTTTCAGTACAATACATTCCAAATAATATCAGTTACAGCAGATTCTGTTTTGTCATTGCTGGGTCACTGGCCTGCAGGACAAAGCATTAACAACGTGGTGATTGTGTATTTTCTTGGTAAAAGAAATTAAAAGAAAAATATTTTGATTGCAGTAGGTGAAATAGCAAATAAACTGTGTATATACAATGTAAAAGACAGCTTGAAAGAAGCTAATGAAAGTAGATCTCTATGTACAACAATAGGAAAGGGACAAACACTGTTCTTTGGCTACATAATGAGAAAAGAGACATTGAAGAATATTGTGACAACTGGAAAGATCAGTTGAAAAAGGGGTAGAGGCAGACCAAGAAATATGATACTAGATGGGTTAAAATGATGGCATGGAGGGATATCATCAAAAACTGTTCCAGGCAACCAGGGATCGTGATCAGTGGAGACGCATGAGCGCCAACAATAAAAAGACAGCCGTGTTTTCTAAATATTTATAGATCTTGCAGCATTTATGTGGGGGGGGGGGGGTAATTCATGTACAGTGGGACTGAAAGCTAAGTATTAATAATACATAGTCATTAACTGTAGTCGCATTCTAATGCTGTCATACATTTAAGTGCCTTTTACCAAATAATCTTGCTGGAGTGTATTCACTGCACAATCCAAGAACTTACACACAGACTATTTACACTTGGTAGATATTAGTTGATCGTTGTGCCGTTACTTTGTTAATATATTTTATGCAAGTTATTTAGCAAATTGATGTGGACAATTGTACAAAGTGCCCAAGAGAAACAACAGCGGGAATTGAGTAAGGGATGTAATCAGTTGTTCACAATGGCGTAGAAAACACAACCAAGTGGTCACTGAGTAAGGCTGATCTGAACAGTTGTTTATAGTGACAAAGTTAACAGAACTAGAAATCATTGAGTAAACTTGATATAAACAATTGTTCACTGTGGCAAAGAGAATAGAACTAGAGATCATTGAGTAAATTTGATGTAAACAATTGTTAACAGTGGCAAAGAGAATAGAACTAGAGATCACTGAGTAAATTTGATGTAAACAATTATTCACAGTTGCATGGAGAACAAAACCAGGTGTCACCGAGTAAAACTGATATAAACAGTTGTTCACTGTTGCAAAGTTAACAGAACTAGAAATCATTGAGTAAACTTGATATAAACAATTGTTCACAGTGACAGAGTTAACAGAACTAGAAATCATTGAGTAAAGTTGACGTAAACAATTGTTTACAATGATAAAGGAACCAGAACTAGAGGTGACTGAATTAATTCATGTAAAAAACAAAAGAAGTCACAAAGTGGCAAACAGATCTAGTGACAAATGATACACATTTACATAAAGCTGTATGTATGATGTGACATGTGTGCATGCCTTATTCACAGATGTTTGTAATGTGATAACTCTGACACTTTTTTAATCAAGAACTATTTATTTCATTTATTAAACGTATTGAGACTATATAATTATACATACGAATAAAATATATTATTGGAATGTGTGAGTATTTGGTTTTCTCTGTGAGTGTATCCTGTTTGTGAACAAAGTTAGACAGGTGTTTACATTTTTGCAGCTAAAAAAAATCCTTTGAGCTAATCTGTTTGAAATATTAACTTCATTAAAATCTTTTACCCTCTATCCTCGAGAAAGCCACTTTTACAGTTTTCGTTTGAGATGTCTTTTTTAGACAGTATGCCCATCTGGCAGCTTTGGTACTGTGGTAGACTGGGAATAACGATTATATTTACCCCCAGATTTTTTAAACATTTCTGGGGTGAAAGTAATATTTTGAAAATGCGACTTGCCACAATGGCACAGAGTTTCATTATTGCCTGACACTGTTTTGGCAAAGTGACCAAAACTACTTGTGAGTGGTCAAAGGAAAGGAAATCAGTTAATTCTTGCCCCATTTGTATTTAATTATTACTTCCCTTAAGTAGAGGGAAACAACTTTTCCTGATTTTTTAAATCTTAAAAATCTTGAAATTCTGAAGAAGAATAGACATATAAACCTTCTATGTGAGTGACAACAGACTCTACGTCGCCGATAAGGGCAGAGCAAACTCCAGTATTGCTTGGCACCAAGGACATTGCAGGAATTACCAGAGCAGCACTGAAAGATTCCAGCTCCTTTTTTTTTTCTTAAGAGTTTACCCCTGAAGTACCTTCCATGAGTCAGATATCACCACAAAACAATGGAGGTTTGAATTCAGAGTTTTCCTTCTCCTAGATGAGTTGCACTCCCACTCCATCAAGCCTGATATGCCTGAAGACTGACCAGTGCCAATATCAAGACTAACTGGATGACTCTCGTAATTGACTGGCACCTTTCCGTCTTGCCAGATGATAGTGTTGTATTGTGCTATGAGGAGGCATGGGACTGACAGCCCATGACAATGGCGAGTGTGACTAACAAGACCCGCCCTCATCAGATGACTTATTGATATGAAAATCTAGCCAGCTAGTTCTAGCTGGTATCATACCCAAAAAAAAACATATTACGTTAAAATGCGTAACATCACTTCCCATACATGAAAAGCTTTTAATGCGCACAGCAATTAAAAATATGGACTTTGTGCGAATAAATAGTCTAGTTTAGTGAGCATTTATTCAGAACATCAAATTTGAAAGTACATATGTAGGAATTTTTTATGAGCAATTATTTAGGGCATCTTTGAATATACAGATGTGGGTATATTTATGAGCATTTATTCAAGAGATCTAATGTCAAATCAATACTGCATGGAGCAGAAACATAGAGAACAACTAAACAAATTGCTACTAAACTACAAGCAATCTTTAACTGGTGCCTGTGCAGAATAGAGGGAACTAAATGGTATGATAGAATCACTAATGTAGAGCTTTGGAAGAGAACTAAACAAGTTCTAGTGAACTAAGAGGTGAGGAAAAGACGCTGGCATTGGATAGGACAAACATTGAGAAAACCTGAGAAAATATAACTAGAGTGTCTTTGCATTGGAACCCACAGAGGCATAGAAATAAAGGAAGACCCAAAAAACATAGTGAAGGGAGCTAGTAGAAAGTGAAGTTAAAAAGGTGGGGAGGACATGGAAACAGCTGCATGCGATAGTGAAAGATAGAACGACTTGCATGAGTTGGTTGAGGGCCTGTGCTCCCTTGGGAGCTAGAAAACAGAAGAAGAAGGAGAATCCATGACGTCTTTGTGGGAACGAGCATTAAGTCAAAATATCTTTTTATTTTTTTTTATTTTGGATAACAAACATGAATATATATGAGCATTTATTAGAAATAAATAATTAAAAAACAACAAAAACAAATGGGAATATTTATGAACATTGGCTCATGACATCTTCTTCGAAAATACAAAAATACAGAGGTGGAAACAGTAATGAGAACTTTTTCAGGACACATAATTTGAAATTACAGAGTCAGAATTATTTATTTGGCTCCCCAGTCACCTAAGGTTTGCCAGACATGTTCTCATCTCTTCCCCGCACACATTTTGAAATATACGGTAAACCCTCGTTAACACGAACTCATGTAAGAAGACTGGTTAATAAGAAGATAAATTTTAGTCCAACAGAGATGTATTAATTCTTGTAGAAAGTTTTATTGGTTAGTGTGAATTGTAAACTGTTTTTTTAGTGTTCTGCTTCACTAGATCTCATTTAACTTTAACTTCCAAAGCTGTTCATGATTTGTTTTTCTCACTGTTGGTCCTCTGATGGATATGTAAGAAACACTGATGAAAGTTCAAATTCACATTATTTAGGTGGCATTTTTGTTGTTCTTGCAACACTGAAATTTAAGTCCCAAATTAGCATGTATTTAATTTAACACAATTTCTTTTTCTGTCCCTCTGAGTTCATATTAACTCTTTGAGTCCCAAGGAATGCATCATGTGCCAATCGGTTACTTTAAAGCCGCTGAATTGGTACATGATGTGTTTATGTTTTTAACTGACCACTGGCTAGTATAACAAAGTAAACTGGCAGTTTTGAAAGTATTTCCCATTCTTTGTTTTCGAAGTCGCACATGGTGACCATTTGGAATATTCGAAAATGTGGTTAAAAGCATTACATTTAGCATGTTTGTGAGCTTTACAAAGTTAGTTGGTGTCTGTA